ATTCTCACTCAAATAACATCAAAATATTTATTTATTCATTGAAATTAGTGCATTCCTTAACCTTAGTTTTTATCTTTATTTAGGTATATAACACCTTACATGACGATAGCATTATACAACATTTCGAGACAAAATAATTTCTTTTCAATATTAAAACCGTTATTATAAACGTCAAAGCTTGTGGGTTACTTAATTCAATTTTATTCTATGATATACGAGCAATTATATATTTCAATACAAAATTAATTTATTTTAATTGCTTTGATTTAAATACTACCATCATTTACGGTAGAGCAAAGATGCACTGTTGAAATGTTCTAAGAAGTTATTGAAATAATTTAAAGTCGCCTCATTCATATAAAGGAGCTGCATTTCTTACCTTTTCATAGGTGGTTGTAGCGCATGGGTATGTATACCTCATTAAATTATCTTAACTTACTTTAAGTCAGTTCTTAGACTTTCTTTAACATACCTTTTTAACTATGCATCTTCTTAGCTTGTTAAGTATCACGCAGTACTGTTCTACTCTCTTATAACTGTAAAAGATCTGTGTATACAAGAGTTCCGTGAAGCACAAAGCATAAAATACACGTTTTTAATTTAAATTTCCTGCTAATGCTTAAAAGTAATGGTGTTTCTTACTATAATATTTATTTAAGGGAGAAATCACCATTTTCATTATCGAATGGTATATTTTCTTTTTGTTTTATTTATTTATTATCCAATCTGGAACCGTTAAAACGTTGGTTTCCTCGACAAATTAATCTTATGAGTCAGCATACCTTTTTGGCTAGACTAAGTTTGTTCATCTTGATTCTGAGTTGAGTATTCAGTAAGGGTTGAAGTGATGAGTTCAGGAAATACGGCGAGTTTGGGTTCTTCAATGTAATGTTCTGTCGGAATGTAAATTTTAGAAGTAATGTTTGTCAATTTGCAATGATGGTTCCATTCCTGCTTTAATGTTTGGTAGTGAAATTCGCTTATGACTGTTCAAGCATAAAAGTAAAATTATCGCCATTAAATGCATCCATGAAGAAGTGTTAAACGTGATTCAGAATGACAGGTTATATATTATTAAAATAATTAAAAAATAAATTAAAGCACAATGTTGTAAGAAAAGTTTAAAATGTCGAAACATGTTGTAACGATAAATGAAGAGAAGTAATGAACAGTGCAAATGTTGGATGGTGCAGAAATAAGTGGTATAATCGCAAAAATATTACTCATATTGGTGATATAGTCAGAAATCAGTTATAATTGAAAGTGAAGTGAAAAGTGAAAAAGTAAATTTAGCTGACTATAATGTACAATGGGTCGCAAAAATAACGAGTGACAGAATACTTGCGATATCTCCCAGTGTTTATATAGATCGCACGTACAAATAGTACATTATTCGTATTAGGAAGGTTATGTAAACTTCAAAATAGGGTTCATTTCTACTAGTTACAGCTTAAAGCAATAATATTCAGAATTTTTTTAAATGAAAAATAAGAAAACGATTTTTTTACTTTGTTTTAAATTATTACGAATAAACTAAATCATTATGATTATTACCATAGTACAAGAAAAAAAGGAGTCAGCGTAGTACTGCTAGAATAGTGGGAGAATTTTTATTTGCGGCCCAAAGAGTAATCGTCGCCACTTAGAGAGTGTGTTGCGCATAATCCCAGTCCCCACAACAACGTTGGCATTGCATGGTCAATTCACCCTAGATTCTATTCAAGCACTCACCAAAGCATCAGTGCCCTGTAACCACCTGCGTCAAAGGTCACGAGTGCAAATTCCCTCGTTATTCATGCTTCAAAGTTCATCAGGAGCGCTGTGACCATTCGTTTAAGCGAGTTCCTTGGCTCTACCAGTGGCTAAACAAATTTCCAAAAATCGGGTACGCTTCTACTCCCACACTTCTCCCGCATCCAGAGGTTAAGCATCACCCGGGGCAGTTGGAGGCGAGGGGTATTTGATCATAACTATTTCTGGATCTAGGGGCTCTGTTTTTTACCGTTAAAAATGCTAGAATTTAGTTGATCACTTCTTTGTACCAAATTTGTGTAAACTTTCGTACAAACATATGTATACACTGGTCTATTCCCTAAGATTAAATTATCGAATAGAGTGTCTGTGAAATTTACTAATAAAACAAAATGATAGGTTGTTCAATGAAACATTGAAACTGTTATTTCAAGGGCGTTTATAATAACAACACAACACTTGTGAAACATGGTTGTACACCTATACGTAATTACCTCGCCGATCGTAAAGTCCCCGTTTTAATGCGAAGCCGGTGGCGTTTGGCGCTGGAACGTTTTCAGCTTGTACTACGATCGAGTACATAATCGTGCAAAAGCTGTACCTTGTCGTCATTATTATAGAGGCTAATTTCCCTTGTAACATCATACTTGATTTACAGCGAACTCAGCGTAGGCGAGAGTACACGAGTTACACGCGTCATGTCGACACCCCGTCATGGGAGCCGCGGTTGTGCTTTGTATGTGTACAGCTTTATTAAGAGTGCCTTTTCAGAATTTATGCAGAAGTAATAAAATTAATTTCTTGACCACGACATATTGAGTGATTCGCACCGTAATGGTGCCTAAATATGCACGGAGTTTAAGTAAAAGATATCGCGTGTTCATACATGATTATTAGAATGTGTAAGATCTAAAGAAATTTTGGTAAACTGAGATTGACAGTGCTAACCAAATTTCACTAAGCTTGTAAGAACCCAAGTTTTAAATATACTGCCGGGATTTGGGCACAAGTCTAAGATGAGAGACAGTAGTTTCAGCACATAGGTGAAAATGTGCTACGTGACTCAACATCAAGCTCATGTCAATATTCGAGATGAAAACAGGATTACAAGATATGACTATAACATCGAAATCGGCGTAAGATGTTTGCTCGGAGTTCCAATTTGAATTTTATTACGAGTAACGACATTGCGACGTTTACATTTTTAATCACTATTGATTCTGACATTGATATTGATAGTGGTGATAACCTAAGAACCCTATCAGCATTAGAGTATTTTAGTATAACACCAGTAGCTGCTGCTTGGTCCTCCCACATTTAAAAGAGGTACTAACTTACCAAGTATTTTTGTATAACGAGGAGTACAATTTTGTTTTGTCTCTTTTGATACCGCAGAAAACAATCGCGTCAGGGAAATGAAAACGACCGGAAATTAATATGTTGTGAAAATATTCAGCGTATGCCTAATTTGGTCAATACAAAATTGGGATAATTTACAAGATTACTGTGTATTCGTCATGATAATCGTTCTGTATTAAGATGGGTTTGATATGTGAAGAATAGTATGTGTTATTTATTTTTGTCAACTTGATGTTTGTATTATACACGAATGTTACTTTCATTAATTTTTTTTTGTAATAAAAGTATATGCAAGTTGTTAAAATATAAATTATTGTGCATAGTGCTCACTTAAGGGTACTACGGCGTAGCAGCTCTACAACATACTACAGCGTCGTAGCTACGCCGCCGGGCGTCTACGGTTAAAATATGAAATATCTAGAGAGATTACAACACTGTGCCCTAGGGCGCGAGGCAGCGCCTACGCCGTGTTATTTTATTTTGCGCTCTCTTGAACGTAAATCGCATTAGTATTTTGTTTTTATACCGGTTTTACGAGTTGTTAAGTTGTTTTATGCGAAACTAAGGATTGTATACTAGCAAACAATTTATTTATTCTAAAAGACAACAATATACCATGAACAAAATGATTTTATAAATGTATTATTAGTTAGTCAGGTATTCCACTTGTAAATTATATGCTTTTAAATTTTTTTTTTTAAACGCTGATTAAAACTAAAAGACACGATATCAGCTGAGTTTAGTCTAAATATCACTTTGGTATTGTAGATATGTGGTTTTTTTTTTAATGTAAAAAGTTGTCAAGCGAGCAGACGGTTCACCTGGTGTTAAGTGAATACCGCCGCCCATGGACATCTGCTACACTCGAGGGTTCCAGATGCGTTGACAACCTTTTAAAAATTGGGTTCCGGCCACCTCACTCACCAGACAAAACGAGAAAGTATTATATTTCCATTTTACGCCGGTCTTCTGTGAGGTCGTGGTACTTACCCGGACGAGCCTGCCCTGCCCATTCGTGCAACAGCCGAGGCTGCTGCGTGGCCCTACCACCGTATCAATCATATCTGGCCTTGGATGCCACACTCGATGCAAAACTATAATAGTTAAAGATGGTTTTCTAAAAGTCTGCAGTAGTTTCGCGGACGAGGTCACCACAGTAGAAGCTATAGCATGGCCCTGAAAATAAGTAATCATAAAAAGTAACAGTTCGATTCTCACGTAGAATTATTAAAATTAACATGAAACACTTCAAATAATTTTAAATTGTTCCAACTTACTTTACCTAAGTTAAATGTAAGTTAAATATAATAACGGATAAGTTGTGTGCGTTAAAGGCACGTTACGACGATATCATTTAAAAGTTCCATATAAATTATTTATGTAAAATGAACACGACTCTACTTTTTCACTTCGCTAAGTTGGAATTATGATTTGAATAATAATAATTATCGCGAACGGCGGCTTAATGACACGTCACGTAAGTTTAAATGAAACGGTCTTTCGTCTACGAAGTTCGTTCAGAGGAAATTATGAGTTGGGGCGAAGAATGGATTTTCTGTCAGAGCTCCGCGCGAATTTAAGGGTTCGGCCTAAGGTGTATTTGTATTGGTTGCTCATTTCAGTACAAGTTTAAGATAAGTTTGCAATGTTTCTTATGGAAAATTCATATGCGAATTGTTGTTGTTGCCTAAGGCCTTGGGGCTTAAATGAAATGTACATCGCATATGCATATATTCGATCAAAATATGGATACTAAATGAAAACAGTAGCTCATGAGATAATTAAATTACTTTTATATAATTATGTTTTAGATAATTTAGTCCATAAATTATTTACAATGACAATACATGTATAAAGTATTTGAACCGAACTTCTTACGTGTTATGAAAATGCTGTTGAACATTCGTGCCCCGTGGACACCTATCCTTACCGCTTATCCAGTTCGGAACTTGATAAGCGTATTGTACGAGTTACTTATCAGAGTGGAAAAGCATAAGATAAGAAAACGCGTCAAGTTTAAAAATAAACGTAATTATGCAAATATCTCTCAAGTCTACAGCGACAGCGTCTCGCGTAGCCCGCGCTCGCGTCGTATCGTACGCGCGCCGTTTCCGTTGCGTGTCGGACGCGTAGCCCGGGAGCCGGACGGGGCCGGACGGAGGCCGGACGCCGGCTCAGGAAACCTATTACGCCCAAATGAATTCCCCGCCGTTTCCGGGCCACGACAAATCCGCCCGCCGCGCCCGCTCTCCTACACCCGGGGCCCTTCTTGACTTGCAGGGTTGCCACAGCGGAGAATCTCTGTTTCAAAACGCTCGTGTTCAATAAATTCTTGCTACTATCTATTATTACATAAAAATCACTAAATCAATAAAGGATAATTAAGATGAAACTGACAAATTTATTTTTAAAGAATAAAAAAATGAGCGTAGTTTTATTGTTTTTGAACTCACTATATATATAAACAATGCGTTGTCAACGACAGATTTATTAATTTCATGAAGAACTTTGTTCAAACATTTGTTGATTAGAATTTTGTATTATAATCTATCTGAGAAAGTTCATCAGACCAAAAAAGGTCTTTCACTAGGTTTGCAAGGGCTTTCGAAAGACTAAAACTTTTTGTATTCACATACTTAGTTTTTTACATAGTGTCGTAAATAAAAAATAATTGATGTTAATATTTTTCTTCAGTATTTCCATTTTTATGCCGATAAATGTTCTATTGTGTTATCGGAATAAAAGATGACCATTGATTCATAAGATTTTTAGTAATTAAATAATTCATTTTTTTAATTACTAAAAACCTTACATTATATACATAATATATTATATTTGACATTTTTTGCGAAGTTTTAGTTGATTATTTTCACACGTCTTAAAATGATTAACTAATAAAGTGCCCGATACCAAGTAAAGTTGCAGTTACCATTTCAATATCCGTGTAGGATTTACTTGAGGGCAAGTGGTACCCCTGCACAAGAACGCCCTCGGACTTGACGAAGCGGAATTTTAATGAAATTTCTAGAAATCATTTTCTCATCTTTTGTCGTACACACATTACTTGCGTCATACCGATTTATTACTTAAAATGTGTATTCAGCTTTATTTCATTATTTAACATAATATATGCGAAATACATAAAATTTAAAAAATTGTAATCGGGTAATTTAAATCTTTTATTTTCTTTTATATTATGTATTTCAGTTTCAATAACTTTCAAATATGTACTGTATACTCATTTACAAGTTGCGACTTTTATTGAATATTTATTTTTCTTAATTACACAATGACTTTTAAAACTTATTTATTCCATTCGTTTTAACGTATTTTTTTATTATTTAAAACCGATTGTAACAGTTGCCAGAAGTTCCACATTTAAATATCAGCTAGTAAGTTACGAAAACGCCCGCGACGCGGCGTGTGACGTCACGCCATTGTCACGCCGCCCGTCAGCGTTCACAAATCAAAAGCGTTTCCCTTTCGCCGGCCGTCGCATCAATCTTGCCGATATGATTTATCGAGCGGCGCTGCTAAAATATGGCTGCACTCTCATTAACCGTACCCAACAGGTAAATCGCGCAAACGCCGGCCGCATTATTATCGACGATTGTACCGTCGACGGTCCTTAATTGATTAAGGCGGGATTTTGTTTAATCGGTTCGCTTTACACGATTCGTGAACCCAATGACGCGGTCGCTATGGATACGGAATTCTTTGTGCCTTACAAATATTTAGGTGCAGATTTTTTTTATTTTGCGTATTGCTGTTCGGCATGGATAGAGCTACAGATCACACGACCTTACCGATGAATTTTAACAAAGGAATTGATAATTTATGGGTAAAATAATAATTTATGTTTTTAATGTTAAAACCATTAACGTAAAACCTGATTGATGGTTATTTATAACTTACGATAGAACGGTAGTTTAAATATACTTTAAAGTTTGTTATGAATATTGATAAAAACAAACGAGCATTAAAATTTACATATTGCTCAATCACAATTTCAGATCACAAAAAAAAGATTTTAATCACAAGATCCTTGCTTATTTTCGCTAACCGGCTAAATTTAAACCAAACGATATAAAGTGAAACTAATGAAAGTCATTACAAAGTTTTAGTAATTCTTAGGTAATTTATTTCATATCAGAAACATTACAGAAAATGCTTACCGGTTTCCTGTGAATATCGTTTATAAATACAATCGACACAAGGCGTTGAATAGCGGGACATTAATAGAAAAACTTCAGACACAAGCCACTAAGCGATTTCCATAAGCTCACTCGGCAGCGATCGACAGGTGACAGAAAAATAAATAGCTCTAAATATTACCGAGCAAATCGAAATTTTGTAATTTGTTCTCTATCACCGAGTGAAAATATCAAATGAGTGGATACGGCGTTGCGATTGGATCGAACCTTTTCACGCGGGCAAATTGGTTTTCTTTTTTTGCCCCCGTCGACCCGGCGAGGTGCCGACTATTTTTGCAACGGCTGTACGTGTGTATTTCCTTTCACGTAGCTCTCCCGTTTTATGGGTCATGCGACTATTTTTAATGGACGTGTCGAGTTTTCATTTTAGCCCCGGTGATAAATTGACTCCGCGCGCGCGATGGATGATCACACGCGAGACGCCACCGGTACCACGTGTTACTGATTGGACGTTTTCAAGTGTTCCACGTGAAATACGTAGGCAATGTGTTTGTCTACTGTATATATATTATATCAGAAATAAATTAGAGGTGAAATTGTGTGTCAATAAGTATTCATTCAACGCGGCAACATCACTATGTTACAGTATTTTGAAAATTTTTGCTCAGTGATTTGGAGAGTAAATACAGTCTACTTTTACTCAGGAAATGTACACGGCGTCTGAGAGATTTTTTACTATTTTATCAAATTATAGGCCATCTATAAGAAGGGTTTTAGTGGACCAATTATTATATGAAAATAAGGGCTAGAACTCGTGGGCAACAATTAGTAACATATGAAAATGCAGGACTACATTAGGCGTTGATAGATTTTAATGTACTTCAATTATGAATTTTGCACGCACCATTAATATTAGCAGAAACCGATAATGTATAAATTTTATCGACATTCCATGCTTAAGTGTTAGACAGTTGTTTAATTTCCAAAAAGAAGCTAGTGGTAAAACTGTCACTAAAATAGTTAATAATAAAAACAAGGGTTTCTCAAGTATATGTAACCACATATGCTTTAAATTATGTGAAATTTATTTTACTATATGCATTTATCGTTATTTTTATCTAACCGAAATGACCCTCTGCTAACGGAGTTGCGGAAAAAAGCGCCCAATTCGCGTATTAGAATAAACATTCACGTACGTATTCCGCGTGCGTCACGAACTCTCCTTAATTCACATGCAGTCCGACATAGCCGCCATCCGTATGCGCCGGCGCTTCCTTCCGATTTATTAGTTTAGAGCGAAGTGATTGGACGTCGAACCACTCGCTAGGCGGACGTGACGGGACTGCGACAAAGCGGGCGGCGTGACGTTGTCGGCCTGCATAAAATACTCCCGCTTAGGTTTTTTTGGCCAGAATAAAAATTCTAATGGGCTTCGTCAGTAGATATTTTCAATCTTTCATATCACAACTTAATGCAATAAATTTCATAAACTAAATAACTGTGCGATTGACTAGGTTTTGTGAATAAAAGTTGAGGATTTTCTAAAAGTCATTCTCGAATCAAGCAATTTAAATTCGAATTGAACAGTTTCGAAGTTGTATTACCTCATTATCGCTTCTTAAAACTTTTGCGGTTAAAGTTTGCACATTTTTAAACATTTTTGGTGTAAAAACAAATAAAATAATTCCGTATTGAAAACGTCCGTAACTAGTTATTATAAACATTACATTACTAACATGGATATATTTCAAACTATGTAGTCTATTCATAACTAAATCTCACGAACATGAACATTAACAATGTGATTATAAACGATAACTAAGCGTAGGTGGCATATGAATAACTACTACCAATGTGCAAAACATATAATTAATGTTTACATTATATGTATCGCAAATGTGTAATGCAATAACACTTTGTGTTCTAGACTTGAGCCTTAGAAAGTTCCATCAGAATGGTTTAATAAAACCAGCATTTAATAATAATTTTTTCGATATTATTGTTAAGAAATGAAATAAAAGAATGATAATATTCCTGCAATAAAAACGTTTGATAATGCTGATATCATAATAAAAACTCCACGAGATGTCTTACCCGATACCAATTGTTGGAGACGTTCACTATCTCAAGTATCTTGTCCTGCAAATTGATAAGATCAAGTACTTGAGGGAAGGAAGGGTCGCATTACGGGCCCCGCTGCTTTATGCCACCATTAGACGTAGTCGCATCCGGCTGCGCGATTTGTAAGTCGTTTGTACAACTGTCTTGAGCTTGCCTACGGCTCGCAAACTTCGCAGTGTTATGGCAAATTTATGTCAGGTATTAATAATTTACGTTAGTTGTAGCTTGCTAAGTTTGTTCTTGGAGTTTCACCCTGTCGAAAGTTCGACTTCGGAATACGGTGGTGACGGTTTCTTCGATGCGATTAAATATTTATTCGAGTTTCAAGAGTAACTCAATGTGAAGTTGTCAACGTAACTTCTCAGTCAGGTTTTGACGGAAGCCATTGTTCGTAGGAATAATTAACGAGAAATGTATTCGTCCAATACGAATTTCAAAATTTTATCCGTTTAGAGGTCACAGCGAGATATATATTTGGTCGTTCTGAGAATGATTGATAATAAATTGAATGTGGAAAATAATTTTAATATCATCATATATTACTATATATGAACATATAGTAAATTATCGAGAAACGTATTAAATACGATCGGGACGGTAACTTATCAATGGACGGAATAATAAGCCAAGCAAATCGTCTCGAAAATTATAAGAGCTATTTTCGAAACCAAAAACGAATGTTTCAAATAGGGAAGCGGCGGTTGTGCGTCTTCCCAAGGTACGAGGGATAAATCTCGCCGAAGCAGATCGGAGGGTTATTAGCTAAATAAATTTGCGCACCCAATATGCTCGGTAACTCGATTTAATGGCGATAGAATTGATTCATTCAATTATAAGGAATTTTTAGTGCCCTAGCGAGCGGGGATAACTTTGTTTTAGGGGTGCGCGTCGTGGATGTAACGGGGGATAGTTTTCTCACGAAACATGTATCCCTTATATTGGTTTATAACATTCTCGCACTTGTTTGAACATTGAGTTTTTACATTATTTTTGTGACTATAATATTGAATTTAGTTTTATACTATCGAGATTTTAAAGTATTGCTATATCGGCTGGTTACTTTTGGTTATTTTAATATCGGTAACTATTGAAATAAATATTTTTTTTCCTATGACGCACTCATCCATTCCTTAAAATATTTCACTAAAATTCTAAGAGCGCTCTTGCAAGACCCCTGGCTGCTGCTGATTTTATACCTAAATAACTTTGTCAAATTGCATCAAAAAAACCAAAAAAATCACAAAAAGAACAAGATCGCAGAGTTTCTTGCCGGTTCTTCTCCGTTCAGGTCTAGTTTAGTGAACCGGTGGTAGATTTTTTGTTGACGTTCAACAAGAGCTTAAGTTAAGCCTATATTGAATAAACATACTTTGACTTTGAATATTTTTTAACAAAATGTTCGTATACGTTAATTGCTGTAGCATTGCGTTATCACTCGCACCTAGGATGTGGGTTAGGTATCACGTGTCCTTAATTTGACATGTATTTATGTGTAGACCATTAGTGCTGCTAATGCTCCCATTACCGGGTGCGGGAGGGGGCGGCCCCCTGCAGCATCTGGTGCTTGTTTTAGGTAATTTATGGGCTGCGTCAACAAGGCCCGACCGCCCGGGAAAGGTGAGTGTGCGTAGCTATGTATTGCGCCGGCACCTACATTTCCTTGTGATGGCGGTGTACAATAGTATCGAACATGAGTTATATTAACAGTTTCATAATGGAGCTAAAGTAGGAAAATGGGCAAGGATGAGACTGGATGGATGGAATTTGTCCGTAAATAAACTTGTAATAATATATATTACAAGTTTATTTACGGAAAAATTTGATTACGTTTTGCGTCTTTGAAGAAAGAAGATTATTATAGACTCTAGTACACTAACAATTAACGAATAGATTTTAACTAACATTTAACGACTTTTGAAAAAACCCATCCCTGATTTGCGGCCAGTTTGCGGGAGGGTGGACAACTGCCACGTCGTCGAGTTCAGCTACAGAAGCAGGTTACTATCGGTCAAATCTTTACGTTATCTAATTGACCTGTGACCTTGTCATAATATTGAAGATTTTGCTGAAGTGCCAATGGGCAGGCCACATCGCATGAAGAACTGATGAGCGATGGGGTGTAAAAGTTCTCGTGTGGCGACCACAAACCGGAAGACGTAGCGTTGGTATGCCTCCCATCCCGTTGGATGATGATGGTGATGCTGATGATGATCATAAGTAATGAGAGTAAATAAAAGGAAAAAAACAGTATACTGAGGCTTTGTTCGCCTATTTTCATATATTCGTAAATAATGAGCGTGAAGGAGCATAAATACAAGCGGGACATAAGATATCACCGATAGCATTGGTATCGGTTTCCGTTTTCCTCACTGTTTGTGCTCGTTGAGGAATTTATTTTCCTAGAAGTTAAACTTTGTTTTTTATTCTTTAAAGGAAATGTAAATTTTCCTTTTTCTCACTTAAAAAATTAAATAATATGTATTGGCCCTACATAAGTTAAAATACATAGTATATTTATTTTAGGGTTCCCTCCTATTTACTAAAAAAAGTCAAAAATTATTTTATTGTAATGTTATTTCCTTCAAGTAAAAACAGATGAGTTACAGTGTAAAATGAAATAATACATTTCGCAAACATATGATTCGTTCTAAGGTATCATATCGGTAACCTTCAAAATGTTTGTTTTCCATCTGCCTCAGTCAATAAATATCAACATGTCGGTAAAATAAGTTACACAAGCGAGATGTAGTAGTTTTTGTGCACTGGCATTTATCACGAAAATAAAGAAGCACTTGTGTCGTCCAGACCCCAGGGCTGCTTTTAGACAAGTTTTATTTTTCAATTGCAATTGTTAACGGCATAATCAGGAGGTATCGTACACTCGCAGCGGCCAAGACTAATCCAGATTTATTCGAACAGGGCCGGATTAAGGTGGCGTGAATTACACATTTATAGGCCATAAAGACTGATCCGTTGGCGTGCAAGTACCTATCCAAGATGGATATAGTTATGATTTGGATTTGCAAGGTCTGCGCATACAGGTTGATAGAATTACATACAGTTCGTTTTTTTGTTTTATATATTGCTACAATAACACACTTTATGTTTTAATATTTTGCCATATAATTATTGCGTGAAAATTTATCGACTTGAATATTAACTTTTTACTTACGGTCTTGATTTTATTTTAATAAAAAAATCTTTAATGAAGTTTGGTTATTAACCTAAAATAATGTTATAAATAGTAAAACTGAAATTTAATTAACTAAGATCATTGAATATTGTCGCCGACAAATTGTTGCCTCTTTAAATAATAAATAGATTACAAAAATATTATTTATGTAAGTAATAGGGATGCGTGGAACTACCGTTATGATGTTAATATTATCCCATACTAACAATATATTATTAATGTTTAAAAAGCTCCCAAGTTGGGTTAACTCTACGTTTTTAAAGAAATCGCAAGTAAAGACATTAAAAGTAATTGTTATTGTTATGTTAATGTTTCGACCCTTTTAAGAGTTTGATATTTCTATCCCCTAAATTGTGATACGAAAAATATTAACTTAACTGTAATTTGTATACCCAAACTTAAATAAAATATTTATAATACTGTATCAACTAGAGTCTAAAGCAATTTTAGCAATAACGTTATTAGCCATTAATTTCCCAACGTACGAGCCAAATTTATGCTTTTACAGCTTCATGCCAAAACTAAACCATTCTCGAATCGACCTGAAGATATACAAAAAATTTCATTAAAATCGGTCCAGCCGTTTAGGAGGAGTTCTGTGACGTACACACGTACAGAAGAAATGTATATATAAATATTTGTTAAAGGAAAATAGAGCACCCTGTGCATTCCAATGTCGGTAGTTAGCCGTGGCGTGCATGCGTCTTGTTGCACGCGAGTTATGGCGGACGCCTACGCAGCGTGGAGTCGCCCGTTCTCTGCGCCAGCGCCATTGCTCCACTCCCCGCGCTCCAGAGATGAATTGCCCATTCAATCAAGTTGTAGATCTGGGGCGATATTTTACGATACACACGGAAACGTCCGGCTAACAAGTTGGTGTCGGAAATTTGTGAAACGCCTTTGTAAATTTCACCACGTGCATACCTCCGGAAGGCCTGTTTGCGTACGAATGAAGGTCCTCAACTTTAATCGGTCTGTTGATTGGAAGATTTTAATTCAAGCACTTACCTCAACCAGACTTGAGCATTAATTATATATATATTATAATAATCCAAATAAAGTAAAAGATTTACATAGCCTTATTTCCACCAACATAGAATAGTCTATGTTCTCTATATCTACGTGTTTATGCGTCTATGTGTTTTCAATATACATTCTTCCATATATGCTCCTATGAGCATATATGGAAGAATATTATTTTTTCTAAACAAATTTTCCTCCAATTTCTAACATTGATGTATTAAGTTGTATTAAATTCATTCATACCTTTAAAGTCATTCCCACATTTCGTTTCGACGTCCACTAATATTAAAATAAATGAAACGCTCAAACGGGCTCAAGTTAATCTTGATTCCATATCGGACATCCGTGGGAGGGGGCCAAGTAGCGCAAATCTCGAGGCGGAGAGGGAAAAATAAAGAAGTAAAAATGACAAGACGTTATTTGCATCCCGCTAATGGCCGCCGCGTCGCCGTAATGCGGGGGTAGATGAACAAATATTGCTTTATCCAGTCACACAATTTATTCTTACTCGGCTTTATTCGCCATTCCAGCGACAGAAGTCGGGAGGGAAGTCGAAAAACGGTGCCATTTGGATTTTTAAGTGATTCGCAAATCATTCCGCTTAATCAAATGACCTTATTTGTTCGACGACATTTCCTGTTTTTTTTTTCGTTGTTTTTCATTTGTTAGGAAACGCCTTTTTGTTGTATTGTGTCTAATAAAATTGCGTTACTTCATATATTTTTACAGATATTTAATAATGACGTCGTAACATTTTTACAGTAATTATGGAATAAAGGAGCATCAGATATCCAATATGTAATAATACACTTTGAGTCACTTTTATAAAACACTTGTCATGGGTAAAATAAACACAAAATCTCAAATAAAATACTTTATAAAAGGCAATGTTGGAGAAAAGTATATAAAAATATCTGGTTCTGTATTCTTGATAACGGTAGAATCCTGGCGGTTAGCTTACACCGCGCTGTTACATATAGGCTTTGCAACTCAGCAGAATTCTAACAGTAGGGAGTGACTCCAAGGGCTGCAGATGGCAAAAAATCCAGATGGCACTGTGCTCAAGGCACGTATCAACATAACCCCCCCCTCTGGTGGTAAGCGCAGCAAGTTACCAACCCGACACTAATGCGAGCGTTAATAAGCGTCGTCCGCGCAACGTCCTCATCGACACGGTCGAGGAAGTGGGCCTAAGTACATCTGACCCACCAGCCCATGGACATTTTCACCACCGGTTACGGTAGATGCGTTGCTACCTTTTAATATAGTGGCCTTCGGTTACTTCACTCACGAGACGAAACGCAGAAGTATAACACTTCCACTTCACGAGATTATTTCTTCAATGAGGTCGTGGTACTTCCCCGGACAGACCTTATTCATGCTACGGCGAATACTGTTGCGTGGATCTACTACAGTTAACCAGTTTCGGACCATATATTAAAACAATGGGGCGAGATATGTTTGCACGTTGGCCGCTAATAAGTTACTCACGTATGTCTTCTTCTTGTGTATGCACCTCTCCGCACTTTATCGCCAGAGCATGTACCGGAATAAATTGGTTTTAACATATAGGGTGACATTTAATTTTGCGGTCATTTGTATGGGGACGCTTTGTTAGCTTCTAAAAAGCACGCGGTGCTCATTGAAGTGGGACAGTATTCGGTACCAGCCGATTGCTTCCAAATTTAATAAGCACAGGTTCGACCGCACTTGAAATATTATTGTTATCTCTGGGCTGTTGCACCCTAATCCCAGTTTTGTTCTCTTATTTCGTTTAGAATGAAGAGCTGTTCTAATTTTTTTTAAAACTCTAACTTGTCCAAATTCTCACAAACCAGCTTGACTTATATAGTGTCAAACACTATATCTTTGTAGAATCAATTTCTGTCAGCGGTATTACCATTCTCATGAAATGATAAAGAATAGCAGATTCTTCTTTCTTGAGGACCGATAATGCAATCCTTGGGTCCCGACAATTACCTCTTAACATTTTGTAGACCGTACTGTATATTCTGGGAATCTGCTAAAGGCTTTTCCGTACGTGTAAAACTGTGACACACCTGTAACACCTGTCACGTGTAAAATAGGTTCATAGTCATGCAGGATTGTATAGATACCTAACAACTGTTTAACTTGTTCATGGATAGTTGTTTTGACTTGAATTGTTTTGATTCAAGTGGGTTCTGACTAACTCACCAGTTCTGCGTTACCGAACTGAAAGCGTTAACATCAGTTAAAAAAAAAAAAATTGTTTCAGTAAAAGTGTAAGACTTGCGGGCGTTAAAAGGGCTCACAATGAGATAACCAACGGCCAAATATCTTTACGAGTACTAAGCCGAACATCAGTTTTATTTGTATTTTTAGCAGAGGAATTGCAAATGATGGCTTCTTAAGGAAGTAAATCATTGAAAAGATATTAGTAAATCAAAACAAAAGAGTATTTAGGAAGAAGAAAGCGTGAAAGATTTTGATATAAGAATATAAAGTATGAAAGTGGATTTTTTTTAGGATCAGAGATACAGAAGGGTTCACCTAATGTGCAGTAAACATACTCTGTTTTGCCCCCAATTCAGAAAAACAAATGAAAAATGAATGCAATATTATCATATTAGGGTAACAAAAAGACTTCTATTTTTAAAATTTAACAACTTTTCATTGGCTATGTTTCTAACTAACCAGTTCTTACAACTTTCAGTATGAACCCCCTGTGTTAAATATGTAAGTTTTATTTACAATTTATGTTTTTACGGAAATTGTTTCCATGTGATTTTCTTTTCGGTCTTCTATACGTTGTCTTGAATATTTGCTTAATGAAAAGCATAGAATTCACTAAATACCAGAAGAATTTTGGCGAGGCGAGGAAGGTCACGAAAATGTCCTTATCTAAATAGCGTGACCGAGCATTACCTGCTCCTCACCTGCTGACTTTATGCGTTTCCGGGGAAGGCATCGTGCCGCGTACAAAGATGGCGACCCTCGTCTTAGATGGGTACTGTCGTAAAAATATCACACGGAAATACGTTGCGCATTTCCCCCAGCGTCGATAAGATCCCAGTTTTTCGGAATCATTCGAAAAAATGCAAATTAAAATAACTCTCAAATCCCAACTCAACCGTGTCGGAGCTTAATCCGCGAAGTGACAACGGCATTCTGACGAGGCGCCGGAGCTGGGAATTATTAAAACGAACGCCAACTTTTTCACTAAGCCCCGTCGCAAAGCCGTTTCAATTGCGCTGCGCTGAAGATAATTCCGACTGACGTCATCTTTTTTTCGAATTCTCGACTCGGCTGCGTTTCTCTGTGCAGCAATTATAACATTTCCACCGACTAGGAAAACAGAAACACGTGGGAGCGAGAGAGAGCGCGCGCGTCGAATCGCACCGTTCGTAATTTAAATTTAGATGGAAATTTAATGATGCATTCACAAAGGGCGCTCGTAAAGTCGGTTGCGAGATATTTTTTACGAGGATCTCGCGAACTATTGCGCGCTTAACGACTCCGAAGCAAGATCGCCCTCCGCTTTAATGAGCGCCCGATAAACGTGTTAACTGCCACGACCTTATTTTTATGCCGATGTAAAACTGCTGAAAAACAGATTCATCGCAGTGTGCGGCGGGCGTTATCTCGCGTGATTTAGAACAAACGTTCAATGATAAATTTTGTTGCTTTATTAGAGGCAGGATTGTGACCGCTGTAGGTATAAGTACGTAGGCCGGCAGAAGGTGAGGTAGACTTGGGCATGTTTAATATATGAGGGTAGGCGACGCAGCGTTGGTAAACACGGCCCAACCTTCGCTCCTGTTGGCCACTGTTTGCTCACCGTTCTAGTCTCAAGAGAAAATATGTTTGCTTTGCATACGTAGGCAACTGCAGCTCGCCTACAGCTCGTATGTGCTTGTTTTCTTTCACATATTTATTGTGCTGTTCCTTATACAAGCATAGCGGTCAAGGAAAATTATTTCACTTTAAAAACATGCATAACGGTGTTTATGGTGAAGTAATAGAAAAACTGTGTTTATTTATTCTAAAAAGGAATTTTAAAATAATAATATAAAGTCGGTGGAAATGTTATAATTGTTTATCTGATATGCTTGTAGCATTTATTATTATTTTAAGCTAGCAGCTCAAGGAACCGATTCGTCATCGATGTTGTATCACTCTGGAATAAATATCGAAATATCCACCTATCTACATATATAAGTGTGCAATATAGGTGGACCTGTGTATGTTTAACTAATGTTGGTGCCCGGACCAGAATCTAAGTTCGATATCACTTTGTTGATCAGTTCATATTTACTTGACAAGATGCGAAAGGTGTTGTTGCTTTTTGTTTGGCACAATATGTTGCTAAATGAAAAACACACTTTGAGTTTCTTTTCGGGCGTCTGTGTGCTGTTCAAACTACAGTTTTGTTTAGCATAGTGCATAGCTTTGTACGGAAATAATCAATAAAACGACAAAAGTATATTCATTACATGTATTCTAAAGATATTATTATCACACCGAAAAGATCACGCTCACCACAGATGACATATATTTAAAATTAAATAAATATCAAATATATTTAAAATTATGAATATTTTGTATAAAAAATAAAATGGTAACCATATGATTAGTATGGATTATATAACGTGAAATTTATTGTTTCATTATATTTTAGACAGTATTTAACATGATTACCAAAAAGTAAAGTACAGAGGGGATCAGGGTTTAGTCCACTATTACTGACCCCACTGCCGAATGGCGGACTTCACATATCTTCGAAACATTTTTTTTATTATTTCGCTCAAGTTGCTAAAAAAATTGAGCACGCTAACAAAATGAGCATGCAACACAAAATGATATTTCCGCGATATTCATATTCAATGAAGCGGCCAGTCGTTGAAACACCACGATCGATATTAGAAATCATAACCGATGTTTGCTGAAGTGCTGAGCTCCCGAGGCCATAATCCTCTCGGCCGCCGTACAACTCCACTTAACAAACGTATAAATAATATTCAAGGCGAGGGAACATATTCGAGGGTACGCTTACGAGGGTAGTTTGACGGCGTAACGAATCGAAAAACCAAATCATCGAGTAGCACCCCTACAGTACACCGCTACATGATAGTTTAAGCCGGCGCCGTAGAGCTTCTGTTAGCACTAAATATTTGAATTCTGCTTTTTTGTAGATTTTAAATGTCTTATAAATATGAAGACACGCCACTTGTTGATACCTAACTGTTATATCATATGTTTCAGTCTTACTCTTATCATAATTTTTTTGTATTGTTTTTTGTAACTCATATTGAATAAGTGTCATGTTAATTGGACTAACCTAAATTATATTTGTACATAATATATTTATACTTTTTGAATGTTACCATTTTAGTAATTTTTGCTTGAGTAGCAAAAAATGGCTTCAATTTTGCATGCATGAAATTTGTTTTTTTTTTTTTTTGAAAAATATATATGAAAATCACCTCTAACGAAGCTTATAAACTAAGCATTTAGCTACTTCGCAAACTAGAAACTATTTTGTGCGAAAATTTAATAGAGAAGAAATATTTTTAGTAGCAATATGCTCTCTATGCTCGCCTTTAGGGTTAAATCTTTAGGGCTGCCCTTAGCGGTCTGTCGAGAGTGCTCGTCGCAGTTTTTTATATATTTTAATTTTCATTTCATATCGGGCGCTAATGGCGGGGCCGCAGCCCTGCGTGCCGAATCGCGTTGAACCAAATGTATTCATGGAGTAATAAAACTTAATGTAGCGAGTGAACTAATATTGTCTTACCCAATATTTAGTTTTCAAATTTCAATTTGGCCAATTTTTGCGACTCATAAATTTTGAGTATTTGAGCGGTTGTTTGCTTTAATATTGGTAATAAGTTACTTTTACGTTTATTATGATTTAGTATTTGCTTAGTAGTAGTCCGTTTACATATTAGTATATACAGCGTCAATTGACACGAGATTATAAGTCAAATTTAAAAGGACTTACTTTATTTTATGTATTCGACAACAACAAGAAATTGACCAAATAATATTATGATATCTAAAACAAAATTGGCTCGTTGGAAATAGAATGGCGTGGTGAACCAAACTTAGGCCTTTACTTAAGTGGATCTTGTTGCGCATCTTTTTGGATAAAGTTTATTATCTATCGCCCGTTCAAGGGACAGAAATTATTAGTGACAAACAAATATAACCTATAACAATTATTGTCAAGAGCTCTTAAAATTATATGTTATTAATTGGAAATCTTACTCAGAAGAAATCTTGATATTCTATAAGATTAACGAATATTGTATGGTAGTGAAATATCTCCAGTTGAGTTTCTAAAATATCCACACCGATCGCGATGATGGATAAAATATACACTCCTGAAAATGTGATTTGAATTTTTTCCCTGCAACAATAAAAAATTTATTGTAATTAGTACATTAATTTACATGCAAAATCAGATGTAGGCTTAATGTTTTTAAATGTTAATGGATTCCGTGTGTGCTCTCTGGAACGAAGGTCTTACGGTTCCTATCTGAAAAGGGGGTGGTGGGTCATAGAGCCAGCATTTAAGAAGCTATCTTATTATTCGTGGTCTACCCTCGGCTTCGAATCTTTTTATTTATGAAAATAAAACCAAACTCAGGAATTACGTAGAATTTAAATGTCCATTGCTTCGATTAAGTTAGAAAAATCCGTTGATTATTAAGTTTTTAGAAAATGTATGGATTATTATTTTTTTCTAAATCAGGCTTGATATGGAAGGTGTCTCTCATTCTCTGCAGGTAACATTATTTCTTTACTGGTTAAGAAGCTATTTCTTGCCTGTCATTTTACACCGGTCCGCTGTCCTTGAACTTTGTTTAGGATATTTCCTTGGGTGACATTGACATTAATTGACGCTAACATAAATTGTTTTACTTTAAATATCTCTATTATGTCAATTTCTCATTTTATCGCAGAAAACCTACTTAGATGGTCATCAAATTACATTGTTTTTGACTCACCCAATGAAACGATAGATATACGCTTAAGCCGTCACCAACGCCATCGTGCAAATCGCCTTGTGACGCGACATTGCAAACTCATTTCGTGTGTGTACCGAACGATATCCGGCCGATGCCGTCCCGTCACCCCACGCAGTACAAACAGTTGCAAAGTCAAATCAGAGCCAAGTTAATCCGTTTAGGTGCGCGAGCCCACTTGATTAAGTTTAATTTATTTTAAAAATCAGCGCGCCGAGCGCCGCCTCCGGGCGAGCGGTCCCTTCGAAATACATTATTCAGTGTTTTAGAATAATTTTCAAATTCGATTACATAGGGCCGACCCTCGGTAAGTGGGTGGGCCGGGCGCGGCGCGGTGCGGGCGGCGTATTTAGCCAACACGGGGGTCCGCCGCGTGCGATTCTGATTTGAATATGCCCCGCACGTGGCCTCCCGCGCCCCGGGGACCGCTCCGATCATATTTCAAACGTCACCAGCGATGTCTCACTCAGATACTATCGGCCGATAAACGAGATACAGGCAAGGGTGGAAATAGTTCGCCGTCGACGTGGCGTCGCGTCGGCACGCTGGCAATTTTTTACCGCACGATTATCGCCTGCAGTTGACACCTAGATATTACTTTTCGGCGCTTGCGCCCGCTTTAAGAGCATTCCGCGGTTGCCGGGCCCTCGAGTTTATTGGCGTGATGCTATTTAAATCGTCGTAAAGGAGCTATTAATAGCCATTGTGGAAAGGGTTCGAGAGGGAAAGCTAAATCGGTTGAAGAGATTTGTTGAAAGCCCGCTTTTCATGGAAATCTGAGGTTAAGCAATTCTATTTCGATGTTATTTACGCGGTATTTTGTTGTATCTTGATGTTATTCGTTTCGATCAATAATCGTCCAAGGTAATAACATATTTTAGAATTCACTTTTTATTAATCATCCGAAACGAGTCAACGGAACACTTAAAACGTAGTGGTAGACGCTGTAAATATTCTCACGTACTGGCAACACATAATCGGTGGGAGTGCGGGAGCGTGCGCGGGCGCATGCCACGTGGCGGCTGGCGGGCGGCGCGCGCCGCTACCGGCACTCCATTACCGCGACATCATCGCTTCTCTGCCAATGTGCCAAAATATTCTCAAAGATTAAAAAAGTTCGTGCTCGTAGAAAGGTCGTGCAATACCTTTTATCTCAAGGTATAATTAATTTTATCACTGCAATTTTTTTTACAAATATTATAAGTAATTATAATATATATTGAAATTATTTAAGAGTCACATTGTATCACAATATTGTAATGTAAAGGTTCACCTGCGGTTGGATTTAAGGCTCCTGTCAAAATAAAAGTGGTTTTTATGGGATAAAAAGTGTACTGAATTCAATCCACCCAATATCTGATTTAAACTGGGCGCTGCATGGATTCAAATAAAATTCAAACATAGCTTATGAGCTATCTCCGTGATTTATTCTAAACAATTCAGCGACTACAAAGAGAGATTAAACAACACTCACATATTTTCGTTTTTTTATATTTATAGTTTCGTACTTGAACTCGCCTTTTGATGTTGTGGCTAATAATATTAATTCGAGTAAGCAGATCTGATGTCGTTTAGTCTTTGTCAAGCAAGGCAGTATTGATAGGATTGAAATAATACGGCACTAGTTAATCGCCGCGTAATCCGCTACTTGTATCGTAAAATCGAGATATGACGAAATTAATTTCTGTCGCTTGCCGCATTAATTGAAATGGCGCTTATTGTAAGCCCTATAAGCCACATATTGAAAGCCTTGCATATCTACTTTTTAAAATGATGTCATGGTAGAGCATATAAATTTACGAATATAAATTTTTTGGGGTTCATTTATTTAATATAATTATAGTCTAAGATACAAAAAATTGGTTTTGTGGGCTAAGGATCTTAATTATTAAAATGAATTATTCTTCATTGAATTTGCATATTTCAAAATTCCATTAGAAGAATTGTAAACTGTCTCTCTTATTTGTTTCACCAATAATGGAAGCTTGCACGTCAAGCACCTTAATTATCGCTCATGTTCACATATCCTTCAACAATAACAGCCTTGATAGCTCGGTCTCCTGCCGCTCGCCTTACATACTCGAGCAACCTTAGTTCAAATCCTGGTGTCAGCACCAATGAAATTATTTAAGAAAAACATCATGAGACGACTTACATATTTTCAAAATAATAAAAAAAAATATTTTTGATGATAAGTGTGTGATATCATTTTAGTCTGCCAATCCGCAATGGGCTATGCCCTAATAGCCTTTGCACAAAGGAGACATTTGCCCAGTCGTGGGACATGTATATGCTATGTTATACTTTATATTTTACTTTTATGATTGTACTAATGTAATCTCTTTTTAACGAGTTTTTGATACGCGCTTGTAATAACTGCGCAATGTACATATAATATGGAGACAAATCAAAAGTGCTAAGGAATTCAATAACCGTCCGCAATTCTTTGGATTATCACCCCGTCACGCGGAGTTTTCCTTCGATATTTTTTTGTTAGACTTCGCCTTTTCCACAATGCTCTTTATGGTTGCGGGATAAGGCTCATTTTTGTGCGGACCGCATTGAGCCGACAACGAAAGATGCCGTTCGGCGTCCGCAGTGCCTACTGGTTCCGAGATTGAGTGCGGGACACGCGCAGTGAGGGTCCGATTATTACTCGAGTTTGGATCTTGATACAGCTCTCGATGCATCGCGGGGGCGCTGCATTACACCGAGGGTTTTACTGGTCTCCTATATTCGACTGGTTGACTGATCGGTTGGGACGTTTGGCCTCTCTTGTGCCGTCTACGTAGAGATTTAAAAAAAAGTTAAGAGTATCGGCCTGAACGTAGCTCGCCATATTATACTTGCTTCGCAACAAAAGCATTTTCAGATCGATCGATTCTTTTATATACTGTAATATCCCTCGCAATACAATCGATATAAAATTTAAATTGGTGTAAAATATTTCTGTCGCTATAACAAATACTAAAAAACAATAAAAAATACAAATACTAAAAAACATGATTTTTTTGCCGTTTTTAAAGTTTTTATAGTACGGAATCCTTCGTGTGCGAGTCCGACTCGCACTTGGCGGGTTTTTTATTCAATCATCTTTTGCATTTAATGTAGTCATCGTGTCAATATATTATTGAAGTGTACATTATCAAGCAGTATTTATAATTTTCAATATAAAATTTAAATTCGAATACCGTAACTTTCTTAACTAAAAAAAAAAATATTTCATCTTTCGTTAAACGATTATGTGATACATTTTACCACACTAATCTCTCAATCAATCTTTAAACTCGTCCGCCTCTTAACCCACTGGTCCTCAGATCCGAAATTCCGTCTTGCCATATGTTGCATAGAATTTATTATTTTATTATATTTTTATTTACTATCAGTCGGGGCGAGTGTTTAAGCCGACATTTATGATATTCTCATGTGGTTTGCAACCGAGGGGTGAAGTTGCGTTGATGCGCTATTGTTTCATTCCTCACCCTCGTGTCAATTTGATTCAACATGTAGGTTACTTTATGAAATGTTTCAATATTGACGTGGAGGTTTTACGACGATATAAATTTGTGTGTATTGGAGCGAAAATATCAATTGCTATCGAGTTGACTTTCGTATTCCATCTCCGTCTGTGTTCCTTTCGGAAATTTGCGTCTTACCCCGTTTGAAATGCTCGATGCAATATTTTAAATCGCTTCCCATTGTCGACTTTGCTACGGATGAAAATACTCTTAAGTGCAGCCCGCGCTCTCCAATGATCCGTGCTTGGTACGATATTATTTCCATCGGCACAAAGTGCGACCCATCAAATCAAGCCGCCACCCGATCTGGGGCCCGCGTTCGCAAAATTAAAACTAAAATCAATATAGCCGAGTACCTTCGCTATCGCAGCGGTCGATTGAAATATTTTCTCCAAAAAAAAAGATGCAATCCCCTTCACTTCTCTTTTATATAGTACCTACTATGGGTTTTATACATTCCATACTCACATATGCTTCTTCGGTTCGGTATTTTTATATTTTAACGGAACTAGATATAAAATAAAAATATCATAAATACACACAATTATAACTGTATACGAGTATTTTATCCTTTTCATTTATTTTAATACTCGCACTTCAAAATCAATTACATAAAATTATGTGACATCGTTATCGATCAATAAATGAATTTCTCGTTTTCTGGTCATATGTTTTTTTTTTTGCCAACGTTAAATACGAGCCCGATATAATAAAAAAGCTGGAACTGTCACAAAACAAATATTTATTCATAGCGCTGATTGATACGCTCATGTGTTTGAGGAGCCCAGCGGGGCACCAAGGGGTTGCTGGTGCCGCCGTCGACTCCCCATATAACCCGCCTAGTTTCGCCGCAGATTGGGGTCCGAGATTTCAATTCGATTGCATAGTGGTGACAACACCGTGGACGTATTTAATTTAGATGATTGAATCGCACTGCTGTTTCAGTATTATTTTTCCCTTTTTACTCCATGTACATTCAATATTACATAGGTATATTGAAATATGGACTTTTTAACAAGATATAGAAAACAGCGTTTTTGGTTTCGTTTCACGGTATCGTTACAGCTTGTTTTATGGATTTTTTTTTTAAATGGTTCGATTTCTATTAATATAATTATAAAATACATATGCAACAATTCGAAAAAAATTTGCACTAATGTCTTGCTGTAAAGGGTCCGCATATATGTTCATACATATTATCAGTACACAATTGCATTGCCATATATGCTTGGTATAGTAACATTTCAAGATTGATTTTTTCTCTGTATATACAGATATTAGGTAAATATCATTTCGTAATTAAAAAACTTGGTTTTCATTTCATTGCCTCAAAAATCTTTTGGTACGCAGAACAGTATGGGTTACCAGGGGTAGCGATGCGGAGGGTCTTTACAGATGGAAGTGATAGATAATGGGACATGTCGCGATGGGGTACGTTAATAGATGAAGCCTTATTTGAATATTGTCCCCGATTGGCGGGGGGTAGTCAAAATTAAATTGCTAGGTGCCTACTGTGCAGGTATGGTGTGCGATATTGCGATTTTGTTCTTCCAATTCTACAGGTTATTGTACATTCAATCAATTCGTATTATTCTTAATTTAATTAAAAGTTATGTTCAAAAAATATGATTATATTAATATGTGTAAGTATTGAAATAATTTCACCTCCAATTTAAGTGCATTTAATACGATAAAATTTTTTCAAGTAAAAGCATGAAAGCTTAACCATGTAAGAATCTCTGCGTGAAACGTTTATAACTTTTCGACGTTATAAACGTTTCACACAGAGATTCTTTGGACAGGAAGGGGTAACTTTCCTGTCCAACTTCAACAATCAATCAGTTGAAATTTTAAATAAATTTATAATAAAAATAATAATATATCAAAAAATAATAAGTTTACGTTTATAACGTTCACTTA